GTAGTGGATAAAAGAGGCGTTTGTGACTATTTTCAGGGGGAGGATAGGTAGCGGTTTCTGCTCCTTCAGGAATGGAGGAGTGTACTTAACAGTAGAAGAAAGAGACAAGACTCAAATGCTGAGATCAGATTTCCTGATGGGTTCTCTAGACATTAAACCATCTAGTCCCCGGCAATGATAGATGCTAGAGAGAGAATTTCCATTACAATACCTCAGAAATTCTCAAGGGAAAGTAAATATATGAAAACTTGAACATGAAACACAGTTCTTATAACTTCAAGATAAAAAGTAAACACCCATGCACAGGGGAAATAAATTTATTTTAGGTTTAACAGAGTCACATACAATGCTGCTAACATGTACCATTAATAAAAAGAAACCAACTTTAAGAATGATCCTCCCAAGAGACTTTTGCTTGATACCAAATAGAAACTAGTAAAATATAATTATTTGGAATCTTTACAAGTAGCTGTAAATAAATGGTCTGCAATTCAAGTGCAAGTGAGATCTGATGGTTCTCTATAGATTCCAGCTTAACTTAAACAGCATTTGTCATTAGCAAAATTTTATTAACTACCCTTACTGACTTTATAAGATGTAGTTACTAAGAGCCGTTTCAGGGCCCATAGGTAAAAACTGTGATAGTGGAGGTTAAGTTTACTTTCAAACACTATAAGAAGCTGAGTATCAGCTGCGGAGTCTTAGTTGTGGTGTTTAGAGGACACTGTGAAGCATTCCTGGCACCAGGATGCAAGCAGTCAATTTATGTGAGATGCTTACACAGCTCTAAGTTCATGGAAATGATATTGGAGACTCTCAGCATGAAGCACGCTAATATAAACCAACCTGCGTATCAGCAGTGCATCATTAACCTCAATAAACATGCTTATTGTAAACAGACGCCACTAAGAAAGCTATTTCAAGTAAAACAAGATATTTATATAAAAGATAATTATATTTATATGGGTAAATTGCCCAACTTGATTTCTGAACTGATTTTACTAACAAATATGAACTCCTCTATACATCAGAGACTTTGGGTCCTGAAATGCATTTGTATTACTACATACTTAGGTACTACTTTACAGGCCAAGTAAATTCAGAAGAAAAGAGGTACATATGAAGACAAAAACTCTTGAGCTCCAGGGCTTACACACTTAGTGCTCATATGGTTCCCCTCTATGCTTGGAAGTGTTACCCATTTCTTGATGATTATTACTTGTATTGTGCCCAGTTATGAACTAAACTAGAAAAAAATAGTAAATGGGCCATTTCTGACAGGGATGTATAAAGCCATTTTTCATATAATTGTGAAGACAGAAGGCAGAAGGGAAACTGAGGTAAACTCTCACACATTGTACTAATTTGCAGAAATATTCTTTTAGAAATAGGCATATATATATGTCGTTACTATTTCATATCTCAAAATAATAAAAAAGTTAAACTGTGATTAAGTTCTGCTATATTCTGCTATAACAACAGCCCATTATAAACACAAAAAATAAAAAATCTCCAATCTTTTATTTGTTCAGTTCAGGAGTAAGTTTTTTTCTGCTAGGCCAACACTGTCTACATTCCAACTTAAAGCTGCCATGTGTGAGGCTTCCATCTCTTGTGTTTTCACAGTTACAACAAGGAGTATGTGCTGATTCGAAGGGAAAAATGTCCCACAGATGAATTCAAATCTATTTGTGTTTGTAGACTTGGCCTACTCAGGAAGACCAATGCATCTGGGAAGAGCTGTGTATAGCCAACATCCTCCAGATACGGCCTTAAAATCTAAAGCAGCAGAATTGGTGTAGGAGTTTCACTTTTGTGCCCAAAGCATGTGACAATAGAAAGTAGGCTACTGTAGCTGCCAAAAAAAAGTGCATACTCCAAAGTGAGGTTTCCCAAGGCAAAAAACAGGAGCTCTATAGGGCTGCAAGTCCCATGTTGTTCAGTGCAGTCGGTCTGATCACAGAATGCTTAAGGTTGGAAGGGACCTCTAGAGATCATCTAGTCCAACCCCCCTGCACACGCAGGGTCACCTGGAGCACGCGGCACAGGGCTGCATCCAAGCGGGTTTTAAAGATCTCCAAAGAAGGAGACTCCACAACCTCTCTGGGCAGCCTGTGCCAGGGCTCTGTCACCCTCACTGTCAAGAAACTTTTCCTTAAGTTCCTGTGGAACTTCTGGTGCCTCAGCTTGTGGACGATTTCTCTAGTCCTATTGCTGGCCACCACTGAAGAGGCCGCCCCCTCCTCCTCACTGACTCCCTTGAGGTATTTATACACGCTGATCAGGTCCCCCCTCAGCCTTCTCTTCTCCAGGCTGAACAGACCCAGCTCTCTCAGCCTTTGCTCATAGGGCAGATGTTCCAGGCCCCTGATCATCCTTGTAGCCCTGTGCTGGACTCTTTCCAGCAGCTCCACATACCTCTTGTACTGGGGAGCCCAGAACTGGATACTGTCTCCAGATGGGGCCTCACCAGGACTGTGTAGAGGGGGACGATCACTTCCCTTGACCTGCTGGAGACGCTCTTCTTAATGCACCCCAGGATCCCGTTGGCCTTCTTGGCCACCAGGGCACACTGCTGCCTCATGGTCATCTTGTCATCCACCATGACGCCGAGGTCCCTCTCTGCGGGGCTGCTCTCCAGTAGGTCCATCCCTAATCTGTCCTGGTGTCCAGGATTATTCCTCCCCAAGTACAGGACCCTGCACTTGCCCTTGTTGAACCTCATGAGGTTTCTAACCACCCAGTCGTCCAGTCTGTCCAGGTCCCTCTGGATGACAGCACAGCCCTCAGGGCTATCAGCTACTCCTCCCAGTTTAGTATCGTCGGCAAACTTGCTGAGGGAGCACTCCAGCCCTTCATCCAGGTCGTTAATGAATAAGTTGAACAGGACCGGACCGAGGACCGACCCCTGAGGGACACCGCTAACTACAGATCTCCAACTGGACTCCGTGCCACTGATTAGCACTCTAATGGGCCAAACCAGACTTAAACTACGAACAAGTTCTGTTTTTGAGCAGGGATGTAGCTCACATCTAGTTCATGGATCCAAACAGCTCATGATTTTGGCAAAATGGGATATTAAATTTGAAGATGAAAGTCCGTGAACAAATTTTCAAGCACATTTGGAAATTTCAAGAGTTTGTTTTAGAGTTCTACCAAAACCAAACCAAACCAAAAAATACAAATACCCTGACATTAAAAGAAATAGGTATTAAGAAACTGTTTGCCCTCAAGTTCACTGATGGCAACCTTATTAAAGCTGGTTTAGACTACACTCTCCCAAAATCCCTAATGTTAAGACAGTAAGGTGTTTAGCTTCAGTTTAGGCAGGGCTAAGTTAGAAGCAGATGTCTTCCTAAGGTTACCATTCACAGCAGACCTACAAACAGCTCGATTTCTCTTATCCAATAGCTCCAGCAAGCTGAAAGGAAAGCTGTAAGAGATCCATGTTACAACATATCTCTCGTGCTATGTGGTGCATGCAACCCTGAACGTCAGGCCCTTTTCTTTAGTTCCTTGCTTGACACCTTTTACCTTTTTCTTGTAAAGGAAATCTGTGCCTGTCGTTATAAATTTGGAAATCTCCCAGATAAAACACAGTTAAGATGGAATTGAACAAGTAAAGCCCTCAGGGAAAAAAAAAACATAAAAAATAGGGAAAAACAGGCACAGAAATGCTTGCAAATTCAGAAGTAAACGTGAAAGTTTTCTTTCTAAGATTTCTTAGAGAAGCATAACATTTTTCAAGACCTTCTCATCATTTCCAATATCTCTGTATTATATCATGCCAAATGAAATTAGAAAGCTTCCTCAATTTTTTATTCCATCACTGTCTACATATCATTTAAGACATTTATTCCTTCACCACATAATATTCTAATACAGTAAGGAACCAGAAACTTTCTATACACATACTAGAAACAATTTCAGATCATAAAGTGTCACTAAATCCTCATCAAAGTCTAAGGCTTTGGGAATGAAAAGCACATTTCTCTTTCTCTCTTTTTATTTCTTTAAACAGATATTACAGCATTATGTTATTTGTTTGTGATACAGACCTGATACTCTAAACATCCATTATGATTTTTATGATACCTACACATAAAATAAGAAGGTAGTTCATTAGAAAGGTATGATGAAAAAATCCAGATTCGAGATTCTCTTTGCAGGGCTAGTGCAGTGATCTCATTCTATTTCATTTTTTCCTTTGGTACTCGAAGTTTAATATGGACATGGAAAAACAGTTATTAAATTCACATGAAATTACTTAAGTTACACTTCCTCATATCAAGGAGTACAACTATGTGCTAAAAATCTATCATATTAATAGGCAGCATAATGTTCTTCAGAAAAATCCCCAAATAGTTAATACCCTTCATCCCCAAATCAGATTTATTTTCTCTTTAAAGAAATCAGTATGGATTAATTATACACAACACTTTTTTTAAGTCTACACTTTTGTGAAAAGGTGAGTGTGAAATATTGAATTTAAGCATACATGTTTTAGCTGATTCTACTCTTTGAGTCATAGAATACAATTTCAGTATAATTAAAATAAAGTAGTTTTATAAATACAAGCACAATATTAATTTGTGTTGACATGTGCTGAAATACCCATTCAATAATTCTCCTCAGTTTATCCTACATCTAAATACATAATTATTAAATTTGAGTTATTTCCTAAGCTGAGGCTTGAAAGGATGGAAAAGTGGTACTCCACTTTGTGTGAATGTTTCCCTTCACAACATAATACAGAATTAATTCTACACACAGCAGGTTAATTTCACTATGAAGTTAAAAATAGCAGTTCCTGAATTGCAGTTTCAGAACCAAAAGGAGCACATAATGGGAATTTAAAAAAAAAAAAAAAAAAAAAAAAACAGAAAGAAAGAACACACCCACAAACACACCTACACGTTTTACATGGGATTCCATCTGGCAGAATTAGTTAACTGCAGTCTATTAACTAAATCACATTGAGAGAAACATAAGATGCCCACCTGTTTTAGGGTCAACGGAGAAATATGGCTGTCCCTGAAGAATACTATATACCACTCGAGCGCTGTTTCCATACGTGGGGTCATCTGCATCTGTGGCTGTCACCTGTAGTACAGATGTACCTGTATATACAGGAAAATAAAAGTTAAATAGCAATACATTGCTAATTATTATAACAAATTGTTAATTTCCTTGTCAAATATGAGCATTTTCAAATGTACTTTGGAAACCTCTATAGTCTCCCCTTCTAAAACTGAGAGATTATTAACATTTTCTCTAAAAAGCATCATCCTATCACACTTTTAAGGAAATATATTTACATTGATAGAAAAAAAAATCTTTAAGTGCAACCACTCTACACATGTAAACATATGCAATAACTACATGGAATATATATTTGTATCTGTACACTCACATAGAACCCTAAACTGGATATAACTCAGACGCTTGAAGATCTCAAGATCACTGATTTTTGGATTATCTTCCATAGTAAAAACCGATCGTGAGGCACATATTGAAAATATTTTCATAAATGGCCCCAGATCAATGAAAAATATCAAGAGAATCCAAACATTTAGCTATCATACAGCATCACATACCTGGAAATCAAATAATGAATTCGAATGATGGATTCTCTTAAAAAAATCTAGAAAGAGAGGTATTTCAAATGAAAAATATCTTGTGTTGTTAACAGATTCCTTTAGTGAAATAAAATTGTAATTTCTCATGTATGTGACATGACATATGTCACATTGAGTATGACAACTTAAAAAGAATATTTTGGAGACAACAAAATGCAGAAACAGAGAGCAAAGAGAAGATAAAGAGATTTTATATTTTACTGTATTTTTTTCAAGACACTTAATGACTCTTTTTTGGTGGACATTTCACACAGGAAATCAGCAAATGAAAGACTGTCAAGTTAACATTCAGTCTTCATCCCATTTGTTTATCTTCCTACAGGCACTGCTTTCTACAGATTCCTTTGGTACAATATTAATAATAGAAGAATAGTAATAATGAAGCTGGCTCCTTTCATGTTATTCTGCCTCTAAAAGTGGCTTCTCAGTTAAATTAACTGCTGAGGCATCGCCTCCACTCCGGGGTGCTCAATTTAGCATTTTAGTTCTGATCAGAAGTATGCTTTTGAATTGAATCCCTTGATGTCCACTTACTGTACTTACTGTACTTTGATTTGCCTCATGGAAGGCCTTCAGAGCACGCTGACTTGGCTCCTTGGGATGAAACTCATCCAGAAGATGTGCTCCAGCTGCACATCTGATTTATTCTGACTGCTAATGGCCACTCAGTTCCAGAGATGACATTAGAGTTAGTCTGAAGTAAAACTTCCCCAAAACATATGGATTCCCAGTTCCTAAAATTTCACTCTTCAGATCAGTTTCCACTGCACAGAGCTCTCTGTTAATGTAGACATCACCAGTGTGTACTGGGAATGGAAACACTTAAAATCAGCAGGTCTCAACAGCCAAAGCTATCTTCAAGAACTGGATTTCTCATTGTGCAAGAAGTATTTGTTCCTTTGTGCCATACTGGAACTTGGGCATGCAACGTTCCTTTTCTTTTCTGCACTGGGGATACAGTAAAATGTATAGCATATATCTTTAAATATAATGTCTTGTGATCTGTGAACAGCTGCATTGCAAAGTCTCACAGCCAAATATTATATGCTCACAGCAGATATAAAGATACCTTGATGAATTTGAAATTTGAATGTGAAAGTGAAAAGTTGAATACAGTAATAAAATCATGCCATAGCTAATGGCCTATTTATTCATGACTAGTTATTTCCTAGTTATTTCCATTCCCAGTTATTTAGGACTTAATTTAAAACCAATTAAATTACTGAGGGAAAAAAATATGAGTTAAAAATAAGTGTAATTTCCTTAAAATGCTCTAAGAATCTACTGAGCTATTTTATTTTGCTATCTACACTTCACATAAAAGTTCCTGCAAACCATAACAATTCACTTCAAATAACAGAAAAATGCAGCTTTTTACCCTATGCTAGAGCTTATCTAAATATCCCAGGGATGTATTTCTGCAGATCAGTTCAGCGACCATTTCAAACTTGAGGTGGAAAAGCTATAACTTCTGTTTTGTGGTTAGGCTTGCTCCATTCACTGCTGAAGACTTCTCCACATTAACTTGTTGCTTTAGTGCTATTCAGGGCTTTATTATTTTGTTTTGGGATCTTACATGTGTTATCAAAAAGGACTGAGAGGATGCTGAAACATAACGATTTTGTTCTTTTTAATTACATACAACATAACCACACCTATTCAATAGCCACTTACCAGAGTTTGCTACTCAGGGCATTGAGCAGCTTCTGTACCTCCATATATATACATATGTATGTGTGCGTGTGTATATATATATATATATATATATATGAAATAAAATACATATATTCCTGCTTCTGAAAACAATAGCTGTCAAAAGTTGCTCACTCTTTCAACAAGTTGTAATTCACCATTGCATTTTTCCCCATAATTCTAGAAAATAAGGTAAGCTTTGGAACAGATTTGTGCTACTTCTGAAGAAGAAGATACCTGAAACACCTAGATTTCATGATAAACTTTCCTCAGGAAGTTTCTTCTCTCCTTGTTTGAAAAGACAGGGGTAGAATCTTAGTGATTGTGTTGCTCATTGGTGTGGGACAAAGAGATGGGGTTACAGAGAAGAGGTGTCTCTCTAGGCAGCTGACAGGACCTTTTATCATGAACTGAACTCTATTATACCTTAAATACCACCACGGTGATTTTCCAATACATCCATATCTCTCTATCCTAGGAAATACCTGATAATAGTAATTCAGCATTGAGTAGTGGAGAAGTGTTCTCCTTCCATGTGAAAGAACACTTGGAGACATTAATTTAACCTCAACACCTCCCCACCAGCACTCATTGAGGGCAATGAAACTCATGACATGCTTCACCCTTCCACACCACTGCAGCACCCTACAGGACGTGTCCATGGTGGCCTTCTGCCCAGCTCTGGTCTGATTTGCTTTGCCCAGAGAAAGGGCAGGTTGTGAAGGATGCACATGAGATCATTCAGACAGGGCATCACTTTTTTTGCTGTTGAGCTACTTGTAGAAGTTAATGAAGAGTTTAGCTGAAAAAGTATATGGTGCAGCTACCTCACTATTTGCAATGTTAATGGCTCTAAAGAAAATAATCTGAGAGAAAAAAAAAATCAGCACCTAGTTTCCTGGAGACCTCCAAATAGATATGAACATCAGACCCAGAGGCATAGCCTCCACACTTCCTTCACTAACCTCCTGTGAAGGTGCCTATCAAAGAAAAGTCAAAATTTTGCTACGAAAGACTTTTGACACTCCAGTTAGGCAATAAAAAAAAGATTTTTTTCTCCCAAGTGGAGGCTCTACTTCTTCAGAGCTCAACTATCATTCCACATGATTTCCCTCTACAGTTTAGAGATTTCATATTGGGAATTCTGTTTTCTTAGCTAATACTTTATACAAAACTGTAAAATACGTTTATACACTCAGAACATCACTCAAGTTTTGTTTTTTTTTAAAACAAAAAATACAAAAATTCATTTGGGAAATCAAACTATACTTCTATTTCATTATATTATGTATATATTTTCAAGTATGTTTGCAATAAAAAGTTTGCAAAGCTAAATATCAATGAAAAGCTAAAGGGGAAGACTTCAATCTGTCTCTCTGAAGACGAATTTTTAATGTTTAATGAGGCAGTTTAATAAAATGGGTCTTCTGAGAATGTGCATCCGTATGCATGACTTGCCGTCATTTGCCGCACTGTTAAAATCTCAAATGGATCGATGTTGAACAAAAAGTATAAGATGTAAAAGTAAGGTGAAGATTAACGAACTCTGGGAGTTCCTAACTGAACTGATTCTTTAAGTAGTATTAAAACAATAACAGTCAAGAAAACAAGTTTTAATTTCATTCTACGTTAGAAAACCACAATTTCACCAGTAAATAATACTGGAGTTGAATGGCTGCAGAACTGATCCAACTGTCATCACAAAAAAATCTTAATATTATTGTTACCTCTTTCTAACAAAAGATCAAGGCCAGACAACACAAGAGGGTAAGTAAGCACCTGCCATGCACATCACATACATGAATACAAGAATAATGTGCTCTAGATGACATAAAAAAATGGTTACTCCTCATATCCTGTCAAGAAGTCCAGTCAGAGCATTAATTTACAAAATTGGATTTTCTGGGAAACACATTTCTCATGCATGATCTTAGTGCTAGAAAACTCAATATGTAATAATTCATTCAAAGCTATGCTCATTTTGCAGCTATCTAGAAATGAGCAGATATGGAAGGCTTTTTTGATTGAATATGTTTCCATTTCCTCTTCTGTTTAGAGAATGATGACTCTTTCATAAACCTTAAAATAGAACATGTTGTAGCTCTCACAAGACTGAGTATTTTTTACATAGCAGAAGAAAACATTTCAGATATAAACCTTGGTTCTTGAGCCAACTTGTAGGTAAAAAGCACAATGAAGTCAAGGCATGGCTGCTCTCTTTCAGTGATTTCGATGCAATACATAAAGCATAAATACCATGTTCATTTCATGCCACAGTGAACAGTGATCTAATATTTGACAAATATTTTAATAAAACTGAACTGTACTTTCTTGTCAGTGAATAAAGAGAAATAGCCTGACTAGCCCTGACGTTATTTAGAAACAGATGAAGAAAAAAACTGAGAGAGGTTCAACTTGGGGAAAAAATGCAGTTATTTTCCTGACAAGAAAGACAGGAAACTGCTGCTGAAAATAAACAGCCTAACTGAGAGCAAAAATAACACCTGCCATTCAGGATGAATTCTGCTACAGAGGGCCAGGAACACCAAATGTTCTTTACATTCCTATGTAAAACAGTGAAAGAAAAGAAAACCATTGTAGTGAAGCATCTTTAGGCATTGATGAACTGAAGGCAAGAAGATCAATTATGGATAGACTACACAACCAAATGCCAAAAAATGTATTTCCTGCAGAACCAATAAAAATGGCATAAGGATTTGATAGAAGGGATGCAGCCTATGAAAGGACTAGTAGAATTAGTCTTCCTGAGAACGTTAACACTGAACTGCTTTCAGTATGCATCAAACACAAAATCAATAAATGATAAAGATCAAAACTTTGCAATGAAATAATGCATGCCTACAGAAGATTGACTGGATGGTAGGATATCAAAATTAAGTTTTATTCACACCATGGGAAAGCTTTGTGGAATAGATATTTTAATGATCTTCCTGAGGTATAGACAATAAAAGATTTCATTTATAAAACATACGCATTAATGCTTTATCTTATTAAAACTTGCTTGGTTTAACGTAAATCGCTCTGCTGCATAAGTCAATGCGGCATTCCAGAATAATTCAGTATTTGGGAAAATGGTAATATCTGTAAGGTTGTTTTACAATAATTATATATAGTACTATTATAAAATTATGACTAATATCTGTAAAATGATGTCACACTCTGAGAGGAAATGAAAAAAAAGAAAACTTCTACAAACAAAATGAAAAAGAAAAATAATTATATTAGCTGCTCTTGACATTGAGGATAACATTGACTTCCTTTCTGCTGTCTTTCCTCCAATGTAGATAATAAAAAGCTTCCACAAAGAGGGTAGAAAATAATCAATTAATTATAATTTCTTCTGTAAAGACAAAGGAAACTGAAGAAAGAGGAAGGATGACCGAGTTGTGCATTTTTCGGAGAGAGTCGATAAAGGAAACGAATTTCACATCAAGACAGTCTTTGATGTAACTAGAGACAACTGAGATAAGAGTCAACTTAGATGCTATTGAAATGAACCATAACTTTGTAACAATAAATCTTAGCGCTATAGTGAGGAATCAAAGTCAATTTAAGAAGTTTCCTGCAGGCCCACAACACACTTACTGGTAGCTCCATTCCCCCACAGAAGTGCTTCCCACAAAGGCACACTCTTCTGGTATCATGACTTTCACAGAAATCCTGCCTTGCAACCTCTAGAAGTCTCTCGTGGAAATGATATTTCATCATGCTATGCTCAGAATTTCAAAATGAGTTTCTACAGTAAAAACTTGTTATATGTAGTGGTATCGCTGTTTGGATGCCATGGAAACCTTCATATTTATAAATTAGGCAAGTAAATGATGAGACTGGTGAAGAACTCACTGATTTGGAGAGCAACAAACTAGCTAACAAAATCTGCAAACAGTTTTGAGGAATGAAAGGCTTTAGTTAACAATCCAAAAATTTTTTAGATACTGACCAAATAAGAATGATTAATAAAAATCATTCATCTGGTCAAGACTCACAAGAAGAAATTAGTACAATTTAATATTTTTAATGAGGGAAGAGGGGAAAATAAAGATTACAAGGGAGGATGAGATAAAGATTCCAAGTTAGAGAGGAAAAAAATTCTCTTGGAACAAGAAAGATCATATAAACAAAGCTGAAGGCTAATACGGGAACAATGACCTATGAACAAAGAAGAGAGATAGAAATGAAGTGAGATAACAGGAAGATGTTTTACCCTTCATGCATGCCCACTTCAAGAGTGCAGATAAAAAGAAAAAAGGCTTCAATTTCTTCATTTCTGGGAAGAGCTGTCTGAAACAGCACACTGGGAGAGGGTTTTGGAAAACAGGAGAGACCTGGAGGAGGAAGGGCCAAGAATTAGCTATGAAAATAGATAGAATGATGTATGAGTGTAAGACAGGATGCAGACATATAGAAATTTTCCCAAATATCATACACAGGAGACGTATCTAGATGAAAGTTGAGGACCTATATGTCAAGGAAGTGGGGAATTGCCAGTGAGAGAAAGAATGAAGAGGAGGATTTACTTAATATCCTGTTAAGAAATGATAATTGTTAAGTCTGAGAGTCTGTTTACAATCTGACTCTTCATGGTAGGTAGCAAAGAATATTTACTCTCTATTTCATTCTATCTCCATACAAGAGTAAGTCCACCTAGGTCAATGAAGAAGCCACTAATCTAGAGTCTGTTTCCAAAGTCCCATAGATCTAAATCCCTGACTGAAGAATAAGATTTAATATGTTTTGATCTTCTCAAGATCGAAATAATAACAACACATGTGCATATATTTCATACGCTGTATTTCCTGTGTATACATGAGAAAAAAAAAATGTAAGTTCAGAACGTACTGGTATTACCATACAGATTTCTATAGTAGAGATGGTTGTTTTGGTCTCTTTGGTCTCAACCATTTCTCTGCACACTGTGAAATTGAACTGATTCCATAAACAGTTTAGAGCGAAACTTCTCTTATTACACAGCTTTGTATATCAGCTCAGCACATGAATGCCAGGTGATGACAACCTCGATTCAACATCTTGGTATCACAAAAGACACATTAAATGCAGACTCCAGTTTAAAATGAGCTATGCATGCTCCAAAAATTGTGCAAGGTAACCTCTCATCCAAAAGAATGCTAACAAAATAACATATTTCACTTTCAAATTTGGAACAAAACATTTCTGCTACTTTCTGGTCTACGCATATGAATCAACATTACCAGTCAAAATGAACAATGATAGCAAACCATCACCATTTAGACTGTGTGTGTACTGTTTTACTAATATAAATGTCCCTAGTAACATAAAAGGTTGCAATTGATGCCTTCTTATCATCTCTTCCATTATCTTTTATATCTAATCAGTGGTACAATAATATGTCACAGCTTCGTCAAACGGAGGCAATTTCACTTGTACAAAGATTACTGAAGAGAATAATTTGTTTTCCTTACCCATTTCAGACATCTCTGGCACAGTGACGATGTATGGTCCATCTGTGAATTTGGGGGCATTGTCGTTGATGTCCTGCACCTTGATAATGAACTCGGATTCAGGCTCGAGTGGCTTGTTTGTCCGCCTGTCAATAGCTTGGGCATGAAGCACATAGTGCGTCTTCTGCTCTCGATCCAGGCTTTTAGTCGAATGGATGTCGCCCGTCGTGTCATCAATAATGAATATAGTCCCTGCACCTTCTCCAGTAAGGATGTATTTCACCGATCCATCACCTTTGTCGGAATTGGAGTGTAGCTGCAGAATATACACACAGAAAATGACATAAAATGGCATATTACGTTCCATAACAAGTTACTGCACATAAGATAATAGAAACCATAACATTACTATTATGTAATATATTAGTTGTTAAGCTTTACACCTTCCGCCATGCTTGTGTGCTGGCAAAGCAACCATTTTGCTTTGGATCATTTCTACCCAAATATAGCTCATTTTTTAACTGAAATTTCAGGGATTCTATGTCCAGCGTAGGAAACTTTTCTAAATCAATAGTATTTTAACAACTTGATCTAATTTTTGTTAGGTATTAATACTTAGTTATCTTAGTGTGCTAATTGACTGAAACTCTGCCTTGAGTCCTAAAAATCCAAACAGTCATGCTGAAAATAAAGTCTGCACTGATTGTATTTCAGTGCCATCACTTATCCTGTCTTCTATAGTCCCAAAGCCAGTGTCCTTCATGGCAAGAGGAAACTGTGCAATGTGGGAGTGCCTGTCCAGGAGTACTCCACACCTCTATATTAAACCTCTATATAAAACAGTCATTTTCCCTGCTTTTTGTTATCAGAAAGTCACCTAATTTGCTTGCATTTTAATTATGTATATGGAAATAATGGCATTTTGCTGATACTTCTTCCATCTTAACTTTCTAATATCCACTTTGTGCTATACAATGTATGTAAGCATATCATATAATTTCTTGACTAGAACAATGCTTTTAATTTATTGAAAACAGGTATCTGGAAAAGTCGCTAAGTACTCTTGTGTATTGACAGCTAATACTAGACAACTATCTTCCCAGTCACTGCACTTGAACAGTGACTGAAATGAACACAGGTTCCTCTAGGAGGGGGGCATGCCCTTTTTCTGCCTACATTTGAGAGACTTTATTTTTTAATTTAGAATCACTTTGAGAAGAACAGAACGTGTTTACTGACGTAAACAATGAGAGGGGAAAAAAAAGTGATAATATTGAAATGAACAGCCCCAGCTATTGTGCAACTACATTCTGGTGTTAAATCAGAAGGAAACATTCTGCCATTTGTTTAAGTACACATTCTCTCTTATCACACCGTCCTGAATTCCTCTCAGTATCTGTTATATGACACTACTAAATTTCCAAACATAATCTTAATAAAGCATGAACACAATGACAATTACTATTCTTAATTAATGCAAAATTTTTCAATCCTTAAGTTTACAAATTAGGTGCTACAGAATAAAATAACACTTCTGAATGAAGCACAAACTTCAGTGCTCTTTTTTCCGTGTAAATCAGAAGATAAAGAGCTCCTGTTATTTTCTCAGTCTCCTCCTCCTACCTTTTTGGGGAAGTTCTTTGTCTTGCATTTAAGATGGACTGCCTTGCTACTCATAAAAGGAAGAGACATATAGGGCTTGGGGATACCACTAACAAACAAACAAGGCATTCACTCTGAAATGCTAGACACCTAAACTTCCCATGTGCGTAAAGCCGAAATGTTCTCTGGAGTGAATATCTCCAGAAGTGAATATCTCTGGTCAGAAAGGCTAACTATAATTCATGAAAAACTAGTTAGCTTGGCTGGTGAAGCACTAGTGAACTCAGGTAAGACCTATCACAACTGAGAAAAAAAATAAGAAACAGAAGAAACTCCACTCTCATTTTCCTCTTTTAATTCTGCCTGCATGTATGTAGGTGCTCATTTAGGTAAACAACATACGCTGCACAAAAAACGTGTATTTATAATAGAAATACATAAGTAAGGCCTTGGTTATGTTAGCAAGTGAGAAAACAGCATAAAGAACTGCTGTAGAATTTAAGGAGTACAGATTCTTCCAAAACATCAGCTTAGATACTCCTATCATACTGCAGAAGGCCTGCATGATATATATGGAAAATTAACAGCATTATTGTTGTTGTGCTGAAACAAATAATTGTACTTTCAATCAGTGAAAAAACAGCAGATATTGAATCAGACAGCTTTTACGTCTAATAGCTAATAAAAATAATAAACACAATGCGATGCTCCACTGATTGCACAGTCAACAAATTAGACTCTACTCCTTTTAAGTGTTATGCTAACAATGTTAATAAACTGATCCACAAAAAATAATGTGTGCAAGAATATTATTAAAATATAATTATGTAAGTACTAATAAAAGTTGAATTCTTTTTGATTTACAAGTGACTTTCACAGAACAGTTTTGTAAGGGAAAAATTGTAAGTAAAATTCTTTCATTTACGCCTTTTAATTTCTAATGTTGAACTCTAACATGAGATGACTTCATATAATATTTCTATTGGATAACTAAGGTGCTTTCATTTGCAAGTAGGTTTATATTTCTTCTTTATTCTGTAAAGAAAAAAAAAGAACACTTTTCTTCTTTAATGCTTGCCTCTCAGTACAAAATGGCTCAAGTAGAAGAATACCAAGCCTTCCCTCAAAAGCTGTTTGCAGCATGTGCTGTACTGAAGGAGAGCTCTTAGCTCCTGGTTAAAACAAATCGGTGCCAGTCAGATTAACAAGAGGTTGATATCTCTGGGCATGGCAGGATCTCCATTCCCTGCACACTGTGAAATTACCTCCACCATAGGTGGCTTATTCCACAAATTACTCTGCAACTGGAGTAAATGTGGTCCATTATTTAGGGTACAAATACATGCTTGAGGGGGCTTCTGCGGTTATGTCTATACTGCCTAACAAAAGACTAAGCAAACTCTAGAGGGACCTGACAGAGAGCAGGACACCCCCCTGCACAGCAGACTCTTACACTCTTATATACTCTTTCATTCACTCTTTCAAACATAACCTGTACGATCTTGGGGAAGTCATTTTAACCTAGATCTTTATAAAATATATGAGCTTTTAGTTTCAATGAGAAGACACTCCTCCACCAATGCCTTCTGCAAGAATATGTACACATTACAGAATATTTATATGTTGTTGCAAAGCAAATAAATGAGTAAAAAGTCATGTTATTTCTTCTCTTGTTATGCCAATTTAAGTCAGAAAACTGGAATGCTGCAGTGGTCTCTTAATTTAAAAATATAAACACATTGCTAATTACTCATAACACTGAAATGAGTAATGAGTGTTGAAATACAAGAAAATATGGTGAAAATATTGAAAAAATGCCAAATATCAGAATATAGCTCTCTGATTTCTGTATTTGAGGTTTAACTATGAATGTGAAAAAGTGACTGAAAAATCCTTCAACTGGCTTTAGTTGCTAGGGTAGTGCAGCTCACCGGATGATTATACACAGACCTGCAACAACATTTGCCAACTTACCCAGAGTCTAATGCAGTGTAAAGTCACCACTAACCACATGGAATGGTTGAGGTTGGAAGGGATCTCTAGAGATCATCTAGTCCAACCCCCCTGCTCCAGCAGAGACACCCAGAGCACGGGGCACAGGGCGGCATCCAGGCAGGTTTGGAAGATCTCCAGAGAAGGAGACTCCACAACCTCCCTGGGCAGCCTGTGCCAGGGCTCTGTCACCCTCACAGGAAAGAAGTTCTTCCTCACATGGAGATGGAACTGCCTGTGTTGCAGTTTGCACCCACTGCCCCTTGTCCTGTCACTGGCCACCACCGAGAAGAGCTTGGTCCCTTCCTTCCTACAATCTCCCTTCATGGACTTATACATGTTAATCAGATCCCCTCTCAGTCTTCTCTTCCCCAGGCTAAACAGGCCCAACTCCCTCAGTCTCTCCTCATACGAGAGATATTCCAGTCCCTTAATCATCTTGCTCTGCACTGGACCCACTCCAGAGGCTCCATATCCCTCTTGTCCTGGGGAGCCCAGGATGTACATCTTAAGTATAAGAGCCCTTATGTACATCTTCAGTCTCTCAACTTCTCCTATGTACTTTCAGTAAGTATGGACTCCCAAATCTCCTGTGAAAATGCATTTTCTATTCTATTTGACGGACTGACTTTCAAAAATGTTACTTACTACTGGTTATACTTGTAACATAAAACATATGCTAAATATTCTGAAATTGTCCTCCACTAGAGGAAGCCAGGAAGGACTTAATTTTCATTCCCCAGGCATTACTCCTGTCTATATTTCTCTGAATTTGTAACTGTTTAGGGAAGGAAGAAACTAAAAATATTATGTGAAGAGCATATCTGGAATGTCACCTTTATCAACCCAGCAGGTTTCATTTCTTGACATATTTAATAACAGTTTGGCTTCAGGATGATTTATGATGGTTCTTCAATCTTTAACTAGCTGTTATCAGCAGTGTATGACTGATTTAGAAGAATAACAAGCAAGGTGTCCTTGTTTTCCTTAGACTTACATATTTTTCATCCATTAGTCCAATTACATGCTTAATTTTCTTTTAATATCCCTGCAGAGACTACGGAAGAGCTAAACTTTCCAAGGGCATAATTTCAAAAGGTATAATTTAAACTTTTCAGTTAATGGGTTTTTTAATATATGTTTACATTATTTTTAATACTTACTGGTCCTTAAATACATGTAATTCAGAACAGCAGCATATTAATCACTGTAGAACAAACACATCTGTAATTATCCGCTCGCCACCCAGTCAATACGGTATCGCTTGTTAGTGACAGCAAAGCCATCATCAGCAAAGGTGCAACAGCAAAACAAAGTCGTCAGGTGGCTACTGCTTTAACTGCAGATCTTGTTTCTGGCCCTTAATCCGCAGACTTTTTTTTTACTTTTTTTTTTTTTTTTTTTTACTAATGCTGACTATAGCACACATTTCGACACTTGAAAATATATCCATAACAAAAGCCCAGCAAATCTCCACCATTAAGCAGAAACTGTTGGAGATAAAGAACTGGGGATCATTGGGAAAGAAGCACAGCAATGACCAATATAAAAATAACCTCAAACCAACCCCGAAAGTGAGGAAGTCTGAAGAGGAACAAACCAGCACCGTCCTGCTGACAGTTTGGGATGCTCCCAGTGACCATCGCTCCCCTGTGTTTGCCTAACAAAATCTGGCAATGTCCAGGAAAACACACATGCCTAGAGAAGTGCTGCGGTTATAAT